ATCCGCCTCCTGTCTCATGTACTGTCAAACATTTCTGATACAAATGTCACTGTATGCAACAATACCAAACTATCCAAAATTGTTTCTCTGTGTCATCCTGCATTTCTCCCCTTCAACAGTTCTGTTATTATATCATCAGTCTTTTAACATCTCACATTAGTAGTAGTAGTTTAAATAATGATAATCTGCCCAATCCATTTGGGTTACATTTGGGAGTCTGGGATATCTATAGTTTTTTTCTTCTAAGTTAATATTTGATATTTATGCTTGTCAATTACTTTTTTAAATTTAACATTGTATAACTATTATTTATTACTTGCAGAAATAATTGCAATTAACTGCAGAAGTCAAATGTATTGTTTTAGGAACTGTGATAATTATTTTCTGTAATCTATCTTTGGGAATATGTCAAGTGCTCGTGGATACCATTTTCTATTTTAAGATTTTTTAACCCCTCAGAAGTTTAAATATATTTTAAGTTTACTTTTGAAGTTACTTGGTTAATTGTACTGAGCAAACGAGCTTTGGGAAGACACAAGTGATCTGCAAGCCCTTATTCTGTCTTCCATCCCCCCCCACTTCCACAATGGGATCAGAACTCAATGGGGGGGAAAAAAACTTCTGTCAAGACATCTTCATTTCAGTCGTTAACATCTCCAGGGTGTTCATATTCATCCATTAGACCTCAATTCTGCTTCTTCTTCCTTTATCTTTTCCAGCAGTTACCTCATTGCAGTGCTCATGAGGAGAGAACTCTGTGCCATTAAATAAATCTACAACAGGTCATGCCATTTCTGTTAAGTATCAGCCAGATTCCATAGTCACTCCTTGCTGTACCATTTTCTCCCCACTGTAATTATCTATTCGTGCTTCCACACTGTTCACTAGGGTCTTGACCAATTCTAGCCTGTCAGGCATCAAGACAACCTTCAATGTTGCAAGCAACAGCCAATCTATTTGCCTGTTCATTTCCTAAAACACAAGCAATATCCTCAGGAAGCTAACCAGTGCAGACCCCAAAAATGATGCTTGCTACTCGGAACGGAGCACGTCTTTCTCCGGATGCTTGGTGAGCCTGTTTCAATGACAACATGTGCAGCTGATTCTCAAGCCAAAGACCAAATACAAACATGGCTAATACAGAGAAAATTAAAGTTTTATAACAAATGTCCAGAGCCATTTTGGAAATCTTACAAGCAAACTTATTTTTTGGTCCGCACAATGCTCACAATTATTACAGAAATATGCTCTCAGAAATAAAAGCAAACCCATTTTGTTTAAGAAAGCCAGCATTTAAAAACCCCATGTTAATTAACGTTATTGAAAAAAATAATACAATTTGGTGTTACAATTATCTCAATAGATAAAAAATTTATCTGTAGCAACAAGTGACCACATCACAAAACAACATCATGGGTGATCATAACACACTTTCAAGAGATAATGTTTTTAAAGATTGTCTCCAGCAAACAATTAGGACTTATCATCCTTATCATCTGCATAACTGGAGCTACTTTCCATTGCAGCCTTTCTCATCTGGAAATCATAAGAGATGCAAGAATCATTAGGCATAAAAGGGGTTTCTGCAAAAGGTCATTTAGAAGTTCTGTGAGAGATCATTAAAGCAGTGAAAGATCATTAAAGGGAAAAAAATAGTTCATGAAGACAGGTGTGAAAAAACTGGTCAGTAGAACACTACATGTTTCAAAATTAATATATTACTATTAACAAATTACTGGCAACTTAACACCCACAGACCCAAGCCACTGTGACTACATCTCCTTCTACCCAATAGCGTGTATACTCTGGAGAAACAATATTTGAGTGTAGGTGAGTTTACAAAGGCAAGCCATGAGACTGAAGGATTCACAGCAGTGGTGGTCAAATTTTGGTCCATGGGTTCAATTCAGAATTACCAATCTGGTCATGGGCCATACAGAAAAAAATCCATTACAAACATAACACCCAGGTTTTCTCATAACACAATGTTTTGTATGATAATCTAAGACTGTCTGTCATCCATCACTACGCCTCTGGCCAGATACACTTAACCACCAAAGCTCTTTTATATACCAAAAGTGTATGTTTAAAGTGGTTATTTATTCTGCTAATTTGTGAGCTCAAGGGACAGATTATCAAGTAATTTTACACCAACCTTGGGGACCAGTTAGGCCTGCCTGGCAGTCCGGTTTTTGGCTCACGGGCCAGTTTGCACATCCCTGATTTAAAGTGTCACTTTAGGGTAAAACAGAGTAATATACCAGAAACACAGGTGAGAATGAGCTCTGAAATGTACACCATGCATAGAGCCATTAACTTTGGGTTCCAAGCAACTCTTTGCTACCTGAAAGACACCTTACAGTTCTTGCATTCTTCTATAAAACAAACAACTGCCACATTAACTCACTGTACACAGGTTGTAAGTTTAAAGCTTTTGTCTCATAATGTCTCTAATGTAGCTCTTTCAAAATTTAACACTTCAAACTTTCCAGCGCACAATCTTAAAACATAAGTAATTCATTCAGGTAACAAGGGCCTAGGCTCAAAAGCGTTAAGAAATGTACGAGGAGCTGCTTGGCACTAAAAGATTTAAGTAATAAAAAAAAAAATGAATGAAAAAATGAAAAAAATAATGTACCGGGCTGCCAGACTGATCTATCTAAAATAACCATAAGAAAGATTTCTGGGAAGTAAAGGTGGTGTGATATTATCAATTTGTTTGTTTAAAAAAAAAAAAAAAAAACATAGGACTAAGCAGGGCCATCTTAACAGCATTTTGGACCTCTAGTCAAACAGTGTGCTGGCGCCCCTAAAAAAAACCACTCATAGAAATGACATTTTTATTTAGGGCAAGCCACTTGACCTACACAGATTAGCATGGGGGTCCTTATGCTCACAGGACCCCAGGTCAAGTGCACAGCAGGCCCATGTGCTAAGACTGCCCAGGGAACTAACACTACAAACCCAGTGTGTCTCAAAATTTGGAATTAAGGTAGTTTATTTTACTTACACCTGTATAGTGGAATCTACAGGTGTTTTCAATAGGGCTCCCTTAAAACCTGTAAATTATTATAGGGATTCCCGAAACAGGCAATGTGCCAAAACAATCCCTTGAAACATGCAAACTGTCAAAGGGACTGTGTTAAATACATAAACAATTTGAAGAACTCCTTGGAATATATTTTACAATCTTAACAATTCTGTGAACATGTAGACCATTTCACAGATTCTTTGGATATGTGAACTATCTCAAGGGTTATTGGGAACACACAAATTATCTCAAGGATGCCTTAAAACACAGAGAGTATCTCAAGGGTTTGTTGAACATGTGAAATATCTCAAGGATTCACTGAACACATGAACTAGCTCAAGAATTCACTGAAAACATGAACTAGCTCAAGAATTCACTGAACACATGAACTAGCTCAAGGATTCACTGAACACATGAACTATCTCAAGGATTCACTGAACACATGAACTATCTCAATGATTCACTGAACACATGAACTATCTCAATGATTCACTGAACACATGAACTATCTCAAGGATTCACTGAACACATGAACTAGCTCAATGATTCACTGAACACATGAACTATCTCAATGATTCACTGAACACATGAACTATCTCAAGGATTCACTGAACACATGAACTAGCTCAATGATTCACTGAACACATGAACTATCTCAATGATTCACTGAACAAGTGAACTATGTCAAGAATTCACTGAACACATGAACTAGCTCAATGATTCACTGAACACATGAACTATCTCAATGATTCACTGAACACATGAACTATCTCAAGGATTCACTGAACACATGAACTAGCTCAAGGATTCACTGAACACATGAACTAGCTCAAGGATTCACTGAACACATGAACTAGCTCAAGGATTCACTGAACACATGAACTAGCTCAAGGATTCACTGAACACATGAACTACCTTAAGGATTCACTGAACACATGAACTACCTTAAGGATTCACTGAACACATGAACTAGCTCAAGGATTCACTGAACACATGAACTAGCTCAAGGATTCACTGAACACATGAACTACCTTAAGGATTCACTGAACACATGAACTACCTTAAGGATTCACTGAACACATGAACTAGCTCAAGGATTCACTGAACACATGAACTAGCTCAAGGATTCACTGAACACATGAACTACCTTAAGGATTCACTGAACACATGAACTTGCTCAAGGATTCACTGAACACATGAACTACCTTAAGGATTCACTGAACACATGAACTTGCTCAATGATTCACTGAACACATGAACTAGCTCAATGATTCACTGAACACATGAACTATCTCAAGGATTCACTGGACACATGAACTAGCTCAAGGATTCACTGAACACATGAACTAGCTCAAGGATTCACTGGACACATGAACTATCTCAATGATTCACTGAACACATGAACTAGCTCAATGATTCACTGAACACATGAACTAGCTCAATGATTCACTGAACACATGAACTAGCTCAATGATTCACTGAACACATGAACTAGCTCAATGATTCACTGAACACATGAACTAGCTCAATGATTCACTGAACACATGAACTAGCTCAATGATTCACTGAACACATGAACTAGCTCAATGATTCACTGAACACATGAACTAGCTCAAGGATTCACTGAACACATGAACTAGCTCAAGGATTTACTGAACACATGAACTAGCTCAATGATTCACTGAACATGTGAACTAGCTCAATGATTCACTGAACACATGAACTAGCTCAAGGATTCACTGAACACAGGAACTATCTCAAGGATTCCTTAAAAGTATAAATCATCAAGTGGACACCTTGAAACACGTAAACTTTCTCAAGGATTCCTCAACTATGTGAATTATCTCAAGGATTCTTTGAAATACATACAAGATCTCAAGGATTCCTTGAGATGTTACAATTATTACAAGGGCACCTCTGGAGCAAAGAGGGTGAGAAAGGCTGCTCTAGCTTGGACAACCCTGACTGACTAGAAATGGGAAGTGCTCTCCTGCAAAGATCCAAACATCTCCTGTGAGGCGTAGGTCATGTAAAGGAAACCATCTTCGTCCTTATCATCCCGGTAAATCTCTGCTATTGTTGCAGACATGCTGGAGATGGATTTGTTATTGACGATCAAATAGAAAGACTGGTTGGAGTTCAAGGACATTCGGTTTCTGAAAAGATTTTAAAAAATTATAAAATATTAGTTCCCGCTGAACTAGAAGCAACTGTAGCATTAACTGATTTATTGGCACTTTTCCAGATGATAATGTTATATAGTTAGTACCAGATTATCCTTACTGCACATAAAGGCAAAGTCGGGAGATGTGAGCCAGCGTCATCGCACACGGTTATAAACCATAAGTGCTCTGCTGTTAAGAAACCGTCCGCCTGTGTCGCCGTCCGCGCATAACTCCATGCTTCAGCGACGTTCCTCATTTCACCCCAGAGTGTCAACTCTGGTACCCATTTTCTAAAGGCTGGGTGAACCCCGGGAACTGCCCAGTTTCCAACACCGACCATGGCTGCAGCAAGTTGCAGCTGAATTTGAAAGCGAGCCTCCTATCGACTGCAGCTAACGCGGCTCACTGCACAATGAACCATTCAGATCCCCTCCCTAGTAAATCCCGTATCGTGTAGCAGCTCACAACACCAGTTCTTTGTTGGTTTCTTATTCTTCTTTGGCTTCCTGCATAGTGCTGTTGTCTGGCCACATCCCTTTTAACATGCTGTTCATGCAGTCTGGTCATTTTGCAGATTTACAGTCATTATTTTGTTCTTGCAAATGTCTTACTTCTCATAGATTGAGAATATCAGCATGGTCCATGGCTCATCCGCCCTCTACAGTAGCTTACCTGCGAGCCGATCAGCTTGCTTATTTCCATGCACACCTGTGTGCCCTGGCATAAATAAACTTATATGTGTCAGCCCTGACCGCTTTAGAGACTCCAGCCACTGTCTTTGAATCCAGTCCTTCTCTATCTTCCTCAGCATACTCAATGAGTCACTGAGAAAGCATGTACGAGAAAAGGTGTGTGTGTGTCTGTGTCTCCAGCCATACTACTGCTTTCGTCCCTGCCGTGACCTCCATAGTCAGACTACTGTGGTCAGGGCACCAGCACCAGAATCTTTTTCCCCAATTCTAACTTCAACCTGAGCCGTAAAAGCACAAGAGCGTCACACATGACGAATTACAGATCCATATGTGTCAATGACAGCATCTTTTACACAAATGGGTCTGTAATTCACCATGTGTGTTATACTCTGCTATAGAGAGATAGGCATGGGACTCACAGCCTGTGGTAAAGGCGAGTGTGACTAGCAAGATCCGCTTTCATAAATTCAGAAAGTCCAACACAATTAGAGCAAGGGATTTCACAGCACTGCATGTATTTAACTAGTTTCTTCTCAGATGCTCAACTCTTAACCTGTCTTCAAAAATTGTCTCTTTTATCCCAATTCCCTTCCCAATTTTTCTCTTCTATGCAACACAGTGCATGGCATCCTGTTTTCGATAAATCCACCTCAATACCTGTATCAGTAATATCCTGCCTGCATTCATCTTTATATTCTTATGCATGCATCTGCAGACGTATTTGTGCTGTGCCTGTTTACAACATGGCTGCAATATTTGTGCCTTTCGGCCAACACATCAGACTTCTGCAGGCATTGGTTGTCCTGTCTCCAGGATATCATGTGAATTGATTACCTAGTACATTCAAGGTCCCGACTCCATACCCTCGGCTATCTGACATACTGCCAAGCCCAATGTTGTGCATCCCAGCAAAGCTTTCAGTGGGTGGTATGGTCAATACAACACTCATTTTCGTCCTTTTAAGGACGAAATTTTTTGTTATTTGAAGCCCCACCCTGGCTTTTGCCAGGGGCTGCAATATAGGCAGGTTACAAATATGGCCAATTGTCTGAACACGGTTTCTGGGACCTCTCCACGGCAATCCTCATCCACATGGTGGCACTTTGTATCATGGGGTGTTTGTCGCTTGTGTGATGTCCTGGTGGGGTAGAAAGTCAGTCAGTCAATACAACACTGACACCCTGGCTTCCTAGAAATCTTCTTGTTACATATTTTAGGCAGGACTGAGATTGGAGCTCAGGCCAGTTTTACAAAGTGACCTCAGTGTAGATTCAAACATATGACTGATGGGTGGACAGACAAGTATGCTAGCCACTGTATAACTAAGGACCACAAAACAATGGTGTCTTTTTTTTTTTTTTCTTTTAAAAAAAATTAAAGGAGCCTTTCTACATGAGTGGCTGACTGAGCCAGCAATGCCAAACTCATCTTTTAATAGAACAAACAGCACGCAAAGGGTAATGTAGTTCACATTAGGCTGGTCCCCCTTTAGTTCCTAGGACATTACCTATTCTTCTTCTTGTTCACCAGCTGTAAACTCTGGCGGAAAGTTATGGTTGTTCGTCCACTTGTGGACTGCAGTCCTGTTTCAGAACCTGTGTTGCGTGTGCATCCATTTGACAGATCGACTCATTTGTGTGCAGACTGTTGGTTCCTTGCCTCTCAAGCAGATGCAATCTGACTTTGAAGAAAGCTCCCAATTAGTCAGCTCTTACGACATGCTTTTGGGTAGGCAGTGGGTCTATTCTTGTTTTCCCTATAAACAGGACCCTGGAACCCACACAGGGAAATTACCTATTAACTACTGTAGACTGGGTCGACCATGGAGCGAAGGTTAATTATGAAAGCAATCCACTACAGTGCGGATTTGAACTCAGACCTTTGAGCTGGCAGGCTAGCATATAGCCACTATAATTCATCTGACATTTTAGTGCTCTGGAAAAAGAAATGCGATCAGGACAACCAACCTGATAATTGTAACAAACTGAGACATGGTCAGCTCCTGGGGCACCAAAAATTTGGTTTTATCCAGCACAGGTAAAGTTGTCTCTTTGTGGAACCGCTCAACAATCACCTGGGGACGGAAAACAAAATCATCCAAACTCCAGTCTACTCGTGTTTGTTTCTCTAAGCCTCAACAAACCATCCAAACTCCCGTCTACTCGTGTTTTTTCTCTAAGCCTCAACAAACCATCCAAACTCCCGTCCACTCGTGTTTCTTCTCTAAGCCTGAATGAACAAATCATCTAAACTCCCATCTACTCGTGTTTTTTCTCTAAGCCTGAACAAATCATCCAAACTCCAGTCTACTCGTGTTTCTTCTCTAAGCCTGAACAAACCATCCAAACTTGTGTTGTTTCTCCCGTCCACTCATCCAAACTCCCGTCTACTCGTGTTTCTTCTCTAAGCCTGAACAAATCATCCAAACTCCCGTCCACTCGTGTTTCTTCTCTAAGCCTGAACAAACCATCCAAACTCCCGTCTACTCGTGTTTCTTCTCTAAGCCTGAACAAATCTCCTTTTCTTCTTCTACTGCTCAGCGATCACTGGTTGTAAACTCGGACAGAAAGTTCAGGTTGTGCATCTTTAGTCTGGCTCTAGAACTTAACTATTGTATGTACATTTGTCTGATAGATCTGGCTTATTTATACACAAGACTGTTGGTTCCTCACCTCTAAGGCAGATGTACTTAACTTCAAAGAAAACACAGGTGTTAGTATTCTATTACATTCTTGATGGGGTACAAAACCATCTTTTAATCATCATAATAAGATTATTAAGTAATTAAAGATGACCAGATCAATTTTATTGCACCAGTTTAGTCCCATCTGGCTCAGTCACTCTCTATAGAACAGACGGCAACCTGCCAATAGTATCACAAACAGCACAAACTCCATAGCTCCAGCTACAGTTCCTAGATAACACGAACTGAAAAAAAAAAATCAAAATCCTACTAAGAAGGGGAAACATTTCGACCAATTTTACCAAAGAGAAATCACTACATCAGCCACAGATTTTGGAAAATGAAGAGATGAAGTAAAGGTAAAGATGACAGCATCAACTTTATTGCACTGGGTTTTATCACATTCGGCTCAGTCTCTCTTCATAGAAGAGCAAGCTGCCTGCTGAGTGTGTCACACAAAGCACGACTCCCCGTAGCTCCAGCAACGATACCCAGGGATCTGTGTAAAAATTGACTTGTGCACTTGTGAACTGAATGCTGGCACCGTTAAACGAACTCAGGACCTTCAGAGTGTGAGTGAAGTGATAGGGGAATTCACCAGAATTCACACTGACTAAATAGAGCTTAACAGGAATGTCTCACTGGATCAACATATGGGGCAGACAACTACACAAAGATAGGTAACTTGCTCTTAGCTCTCTGATAGCGTGACCTACTTTTTAGCCACCTGCATCCTGTCAACATCAGAAATATTATTACAAACCCACGACACACACCCCCCCCCCCCCCCCCCCCCCAATCACACACACACACAACACAAAGGTTAACCAGTTTACCATACACTTTCTGATGCAAGATGCCTTGCAGAAATTAGAACAAGAATCACCACAGCAAAAGTAGAACTTAGCAAGATGCAAAAAAGTTTCTCAGCAATAGGATGTCCCTTGCAGTGAGAAAAAAAAAAAAGAGCGCTAAAGTGGTATTTTGAACCTATGTTGTTATATGCATGTGAAACATGGACAATAAATAAACAAGCTGAAAAACATTTACTCATGGCAGAGATGTGGTTTCTGAGAAGAATGCAAAGAATACCATAGAAGGATAGAAAACAAAGTAGCCATTCTCATCAAGACAGAAGAACGTGGTAAACTTGTGAGAACAGTTAAATGTAGGTAGTAAGTGGTTTCTGGATTTGTCTTCTTCTTCTTAATGTTATGAGACATAAAGGACTCGGGAACTTGGGAACAGCTGGAAAGATTACTGGCACACAATTTCTATATCAGCACACATTTCAACAATCTCAGTACACATTTCACCTATCTCAGTACACATTTGACCTATCTCAGTACACATTTGACCTATCTCAGTACACATTTGACCTATCTAAGCACACATTTCACCTATCCCAGCATTCATTTCACCTATCTCAGCACACTTTCCCCCTATCTCGGTACACATTTCACCTATATCAGCACACATTTTACCTATTCCAGCACACATTTCAACTATCTCAGTACAAATTTGACCTATCTCAGTACAAATTTGACCTATCTCAGTACACATTTGACCTATCTCAGTACACATTTGACCTATCTAAGCACACATTTCACCTATCCCAGCATTCATTTCACCTATCTCAGCACACTTTCCCCCTATCTCAGTACACATTGCACCTTCCTCAGCACACATTTCACCTACCTCAGCACACATTTCACCTACCTCAGCACACATTTCACCTACCTCAGCACACATTTCACCTACCTCAGCACACATTTCACCTACCTCAGCACACATTTCACCTACCTCAGCACACATTTCACCTACCTCAGCACACATTTCACCTACTTCAGCACACATTTCACCTACCTCAGCACACATTTCACCTGCCTCAGCACACATTTTACCTATCTCAGCACACATTTCACCTACCTCAGCACACATTTCACCTACCTCAGCACACGTTTAAACTAACTCAGCACACATTTCACCTACCTCAGCACACATTTTACCTACCTCAGCGCACATTTTACCTATCTCAGCACACACTTCACCTATCTCAGCACACATTTTACCTATCTCAGCACACATTTTACCTATCTCAGCACACATTTGACCTATCTCAGCACACATTTGACCTATCTCAGCACACATTTTACCTATCTCAGTACACATTTTACCTATCTCAGCACAAAATTTACCTATCTCAGCATACATTTGACCTATCTCCGCACACATTTTACCTATCTCAGCACACATTTTACCTATCTCAGCACACATTTTACCTATCTCAGCATACATTTTACCTATCTCAGCACACATTTTACCTATCTCAGCACACATTTTACCTATCTCAGCACACATTTTACCTATCTCAGCACACATTTTACCTATCTCAGCACACATTTGACCTATCTCAGCACACATTTGACCTATCTCAGCACAAATTTGACCTATCTCAGCATACATTTGACCTATCTCAGCACACATTTGACCTATCTCAGCACACATTTGACCTATCTCAGCACACATTTTACCTATCTCAGCACACATTTTACCTATCTCAGCACACATTTTACCTATCTCAGCACACATTTTACCTATCTCAGCACACATTTCACCTATCTCAGCACACATTTTACCTATCTCAGCACACATTTTACCTATCTCAGCACACATTTCACCTATCTCAGCACATTTTACCTACCTCAGCATACACTTCAACTATCTCAGCACACATTTTACCTACCTCAGCATACACTTCACCAATCTCAGCACACATTTCACCAACCTCAGCAGGCATTTCACCTATCTCGGCATACATTTCAACTATCTCAGCACACATTTCACCAACCTCAGCAGGCATTTCAATGATCTCAGCATACATTTCAACTATCTCAGCACACATTTCACCAACCTCAGCAGGCATTTCACCTATCTCGGCATCCATTTTAACTATCTCAGCATACATTTTACCTACCTCAGCATACACTTCACCTATCTCAGCACACAATTCACCAACCTCAGCAGGCATTTCACCTATCTCGGCATACATTTCAACTATCTCAGCATACATTTTAACTATCTCAGCACACATTTCAACTATCTCAGCATACATTTTAACTATCTCAGCATACATTTCAACTATCTCAGCATATATTTCAACTATCTCAGCATATATTTCAACATCTCAGCATACATTACACCCATCTCAGCCCACATTTCACCTACCTCAGCACACACTTCACCTAACGCAGCACAAATTTCAACTACTGTAGCACAGATTGCAGCCAGCAATTTCACAAATACTTACAGGTACTTTGCTTGGAAACTTCTGCCGGATCCCCTCCACCTCTTCCTTTCTCACCGCTGCAAAGTTAAAAAAAAGAAAAAGGACACGATGAAATCAAAACTAACAATTACTGTACTTCAATTAATCGATCAAAAGCCATCTTCACAGGGAACAGCACTGATAAGGAGCAGGGCTTGCTTTTTCTTGGCTACACAAAAGGAGCCAATGATTACCACAAAGTATCTAACGGTGCTCCTCCACACAGAATCTCTATTACTGTAGTGTCAGCCAAAAATGTCTACAAGAAAGATGCCATTACCAAGTGTAACCAGAAAAACACTTTTTCAGTCCATCTCTTGACAGTGTTTCCCAACATGTAACATTCTCTTCCTTTATTACATTTCACACTCAATCAGACAATAAAAATGTGGAGCTGGCATCATGTGCCCAAAACATCTTAAGAACACATAAGAAGGTCCTTCACAGGTTTACTGACAGGGCTGTATTGAAATAATGCGGTCCAGAACAATGCTTTGCATAATTTACTGCCAGACACATTTTCGCTGTATCTCGTCAGATGTGTTACTACAGAGTTACACAAACATATAATAAAACCTAACAATTTAATTAATTCCACTGAAATACAAATCACATGGTCCTTCTCGGCACAGAGTTTGTGTCTAATCACTGAAGTTCCCTTCAAATGCATATGAACTACTGTTTATTGGGGGGGGGGGGGGGGGGGGGGGGGGGGGGGGGGTGGGGGATGATATTAGGTTTTGTTGTTCAATCTTATTGTCATAGTTTTAGCTAGTCTCATCAATGATCGGTTCAGCATGTGACAAATACCTAGAGGGCACAGTCCTTGCTAATTACACATCCAGAATCAAGCAAAAGACATCATACAGAGGAGTTGGGTTCTTTCCACTTGGTTGGTTTTGACACTTTTGTGGACTCAGTCAACTGTGTATGTAGCCATAAAGCTATATATTCTGCCACTCTGTTTTAAAGTTGTCTATACATTCGACCAACGTAAGTCAATTAGTACTTACATGTAAATTTATAATTACAAGTAGATTTTGTGTGAGGCGAAACCCATTCTTTAATAGGCAGGGTTGGGATAGAAGTGGTCTTATATCTCACTACTGGAACAGCGTCAAGCAACATTTGACCAACAGCAGTTTTTAGTCTGTTTTACAGACACTGCATGTCATCGTCCCCTTTGTAAGTTAATTGGATAAATACTTCTTTATTTATTGCCTGGCATATTTCACTGTCTCCCGTCAGGTGCATACTACAATAACAATTGATTAAAATTAAGCATTGTTTGTGTCTTGTTTGTTAAAATTGCCAATGGAGAACATTGCTTTTAAATACTTGTAGTTTGGGCACTGTAACTTCATCATGGGTTGGGTTGAGTGGATGAAGTAGTGTTTGATGAATCCTGTGGCATACCCATTTAGAAGTAGAGTTGTCTTGGGGTTTCAATTACTACTGAAATATATCTTCGATTTTAATCTTTCTGGTACTGTATATCAAGCTTCTTACTAGGTCAAGTTAAGGCTGTCCGAATAACGGTCCCAAATTATCGAGGCCGAAAATAAGCCCTAACAGGGCCTCAGTCACATGTAAATTGCAGACCTATTTTTGGCGACTATACCACCACTGCCGCGCAGCGGCGCAGAATGGGGCTAAACTAGATGGCTGGGACACGAGAAAAATAAAATGAAGGAAGCTGCAGGAGATGCGGTAGTTGCTCCTCGTGAGTCCTAGCCATCTAGCCGTTATTCAGAGGATAGCCCACGTTTATAATGAATGGGTACAAAACTGAGGTGTACATCACAATGACCACCTTTACTTCCCAGGAATGGATCATGGGTCTAAATAGCCAAGTACTGTTTATGTGTACTTCACATTAATTACTATGTGACACCTGACAAAATAATTTCTGGGTTCCGATTCTTTCTTATCTTCTGTCCTACTGTAGCAAAGCATCACAGAAAAGAGTTGGATGTAGTTCCCTATCTTTTGCAAGTTGTAGCGCACTGTTTTCTTGTGGTATGGTCTCACTCTGTAGTAGGTTTAGATTCAATTGTAGATTCAAATTATATAGAATAAGCTACTGCTGATTAGAAATGGGCTGGTTTAAATTCAAGTGTTGTTACAGACCTAATTGTAATAAACTGAACTGGTATAGATTATAGTAAAGTCATTAAACTGTAATTGTTAGTCAAACTGTTGCTACATATTAGGTCAATGTTACAGACTCAACTGTTACAGATTAAACTCTTTCTGAACCCTGTCAAACATTCCAAACATCTGCTCGCATACTGGGGAGTATTGATTTTAAACTATACAATGAGCTGACTGCACTTAGGTCAAAAAGTCTCGGCTGATCGAAGCAGTACACACGGACTTGGAAGTTGGTTATACAACAGTCAACAATTTATGCCCGATTAATTAATAGCTGAATCCAATCAAACATAACTTACCTCCCTAACATCCCTATCATTCTCACGCCACTAGTATAATGTCAGCAGACATCTTCTCCTTTGAACTTCGCCCACAGCTGACGCTAAAACCACAACAACAAAAAAGTTGAACAAATGATGGGAGTTTTCAACAGACAAGACAAGCAAACGACAGACTTACCAAAAGTCTTTCTTTGTTTAAAAGTCTTATTATCTTGACCGTCAGGCATCTTGTATACGGTTTAATGACTCTGAGGGCAGCTGTTTCAATGTAATCAAATGTAAACACCCGAAGGAGGAAGAAGGGTGTCGCAAGTTCAGATTTACTGCGTCGTCACAGAGAGAAAGACTCAGCGAGCTGATGTTGTTGACTGATGGATGCACGTCACTGGGGTCTGTCCTAGTTTCCCGACCTGGTGGGTGCGAGGCAAGGGATACAATTCTAGAAAATAGCGCAGCATTTTCTCTGTGCGGTTATTTCCCTTATTTCATCATCATCATCCTCCTCAACATCACTATCAGCATCAACACGCCGGTTAGTTAGTCTCGAACCAATCAGTCCATAAGTGCTCAGAACCCTTCTCAGTAAATCCCGCAGCGGGTAGTTGTTAACGACACCCATTCTTTCTTGATTTATTCTTCTTCTTTTGCTTCCTGTATAGTGCTCTTGTCTGTCGCTAGTCAACTTCTTGTGAGATGCAATTTTTCGTCATTTTGAAAGCCCCACCCTGGCTCTTGCCAGGGACCGAAATATAGCTCGGGCATAAATATGGCGTAATGGCTGAACGCGGTTTCCGGGACCTCTCCACGGGTGATCCTCATTCACATGGTGGCACTTTGTGTCATCGGATGTTTTTTGCTTGTGTGATATCCTGGTGGGGTGAAATGTACTACTACTACTACTACTAATACTCTTGTCTGGTCACACACATGTTAACTTGGTTCTTGCAGTCTGGTCATGGCTGAAGATTCTCAATCATCACTTGGTTCTCACAAACGTCTTCCTTCTCACTGTTTGTATGATATTCTGAGAATCTTACTATTGCATTTGAGCGCTTCGCTTTCCAAGATACCTCACATTTCTAGTCTGTGCAAGAGATAATCCACGACTCACATTCGTAACTCAAGATCCCTTTTCACGCATTTAGACGCATCGGTAATTTGGGAAGACGACCCATATTTTTACAGACCGATCTGTACTAGGTGGGTAACGTGGTCAGCATTTCGCCGGCCCTCTTTTCTTTCCCAGGACATACATCCTGGTTCCCATTTTAGGCTGGGTCGGCCTGCGACGCCCCATACCATGATACAATTCTACGCAGCTAGCGGAGGGTTACGATCGCAGTATGTTGGAATTACGAGTCAGACTCGCAACGCCTAAGCCACGGACGCCGCACATCCGTAGGTTGCTACAGGGAAACGATTCTCTGACAATATAGACAGATTTTATTGCTGGTGCTTAGTCAAGGGTTTTAATCCAGTTTAATTCCCTTATTTAATTTTATGTTTTCTGTCTAGAGGACACTAACTCATGGATTAATTCATTCCATTCATTCTTTTCATTCATTCGTTTTATTTATTCATTCATTTATTAAATTCATTGATACCATTTGTTACTTATATTTTAATTAATTCCATTCATTTATGGCATCACTCTCTTATTAAATTATTCATTTAACACTTCTTTATTATATTTTTTAAACGGGACAATAACTACAAAGCGAATACTTTAACACAAAGTCAAACAGAAAGACAGACAAACATCGACATACACACAAACACACGCACACAATATAATCACAGCTAGTTCTGAACACTGAATCAAGTATTAGTGGAACAGACAAACATACAGACCGATGACTAGATGAATAGATAGATAGATAGGCAGGCAGGCAGGCAGGAAGGCAGACAGGCAGGCAGGCAGGCAGGCAGGCAGGCAGACAGGCAGGCAGGCAGGCAGGCAGACAGACAGACAGACAGACAGACAGACAGATTAGATAGATAGACAGACAAATTAGATAGATAGATAGATAGACAGATTAGATAGATAGATAGATAGATAGATAGATAGATAGATAGATAGATAGATAGATAGATAGATAGATAGATAGATAGATAGATAGATAGATAGATAGATAGATAGATAGATAGATAGATAGATAGATAGATAGATAGATAGATAGATAGATAGATAGATAGATAGATAGATAGATAGATAGATAGATAGATAGATAGATAGATAGATAGATAGATAGATAGATAGATAGATAGATAGATAGATAGATAGATAGATAGATAGATAGATAGATAGATAGATAGATAGATAGATAGATAGATAGATAGATAGATAGATAGATAGATAGATAGATAGATAGATAGATAGATAGATAGATAGATAGATAGATAGATAGATAGATAGATAGATAGATAGATAGATAATCATTTGATTTGAATCATACATTTGTAATGTCCTAATTTACAGTTGGAAACAAACTTTTCAGTCTGATCTTTTCAGTTCCTAGCCACCGATTAATATTTAATTTGTTCCACATTTTCGCCATCGTGTCCAGTTTTTCTGTTTACTCCCAGGCGATTGTTTTGCGCTGTGGCCAAGAGCATGTACATTAATTATTTATAGTCAGAGGGTCCCTTACCCCCCCCCCCCCAGCCGAGGTTCAGTAACCTGGAAGCTCTGGCAAACTGAACGACTACCCCCACCCCATCCAGTTTTAGCCTCCCTAGGAAATCTGCAAGAGGACGCCTGTCTGCAGTTCTGTATGTCCAGGTTTTTTTTGGTTCCTTCAATAATGTATCTATCAGTTGGTCCCTAGATAGGTTTGGGGTTAGACGACCGATCAACATCATGGTACAAGAGATACTCATACGTGCTCTGTTCTACCACTGACTCAAGCCTGAGTCTGAAGAATCCCAGCACAGTGCACGAATTCCGTAGCACCTGCGGGAATCTTCAAAATACTTTAGGTAGATTTTTAATTCCAGACACCGCCGTTAGGTTACTCTTTTCAATTTACTACTGCCAAAGTATTTTTACATTCGCAGCAATACATATGGGCGTCCGATCTTACTACCCAGAGACCAGGGGAAATTACTAGATGTCCACGGGAAAAAATATCAGCCTTCAGCGGGACCTAAACCCGGGACCTCCAGTACTCGAGGCGGACGCCATACCTCGAGACCACGCAGCCTCCAAGTTCCCTAGATATATTATGTATTCGTATTACGTGTTTGTCACTTTCTCTCTCTCTCTCTCTCTCTCTCTCTCTCTCTCTCTCTCTCTCTCTCTCTCTCTCTCTCTCTCTCAGCTCTCATCTGTCCCGCTCAATCTGTCTCTCTCACTAACTTATTTAAGAATATCTTTCTTTTTCTATCTAGCCCCCCCCCCCCCCCCCCCCCCCCACACACACCCCAAATGTGTCTGCCTGTATGCCTGTCCGTCCGTCCGTCCGTCCGTCCGTCTGTCTGTCTGTCTCTCCGTCTGTCCGTCCATATGTCTGTCCGTCCGCACGTCCGTCTGTTTGTCTGTCTGTCCGTCCGTCCGTCCTCTGTCTGTCCGTCTGAATGTTTGTTTGTCTGTCTGCATATCTATCTATCACCTTTCTTGCTCTCTCTTTTGCTGCTTACTAAATTCTCATGACCTCTCTTCTGCCTGCCTGTATGCCTGTCTGTCCGTACGTCCGTCCGTCTGTCCGTCCGTCCGTCTGTCTGTCCGTCCGTCCGTCCGTCCATCTGTCTGTCTGTCCGTCTGTATGTCCATCCGTCTGTCTGTCTGTCTGTCTGTCTGTCTGTCTGTCTGTCTGTCTGTCTGTCTGTCTGTCTGTCCGTCTGTCTGTCTGTTTGTCTGTCTGTCTGTCTGTCTGCCTATCTATCTCTTACCTTTCTTGCTCTCCCTTTTGCTTCTTTCTATATTCTCATTACCTCTCTTCCCTCTTTTCTCTTGCTCTCACCCTCTCTCGCTTTCACTCTATCTCTCACTATATCTCTCCCTCCCCCTCTCTATCACTATCTCTCTCTTCCTTTCTCTCTTCCTACCTCTCTCTCCCACTCCCTTTCTCTCTCTCCCCCTCCCTCTCTCTCACACACACACACACACACACACACACACACACACACACACACAACTCTCAACGGCTCCCGTCATTATGTCCCCTCCAATCCCCAAGACTCAGTCCTACCTATAATTACAAGACCAGATTGTCTTCCATAGAAATCAACGAAGCTTTATCAAATCCAGTTGCCATGTGAACATGCAATGCTCACAGTCATATGTGACGGAATACGTCAACAAATCTGGTTGCGTTATGCAGAATCAATATGTAATCTTGGACAAAGGATGCACAGAAAATCAATAACAGCAAGAGGCATCTGGAGCCTAGCTGTAATATTTCATTCAGTATAAAGAAAAAAAATCACAGTGAACAAAAAAAAAAACCCAAAAAAAAAAACGGAAAGCCAAGTAATTGACATGACATGGGAATTCTGTTAGCCTGTCCGTCATTACAATATGACTGAATTGGTCCATGTCTCTACCGAATGATTCTCAGAGTAGGATAGTGATGGCCTAATTCTAATGCCTGACTGTAGATATTTACCCAGTTGACATTTCTACGTGACAGAAATGGAACTGATGAACACCAGTTGAAGAAGTGGCCGAAGGACTTCACATATCTGGGGAGCATTTTTTCAGAAAACGGAAGAAAGAATAACAAAAATCCAGCAGAGATACAAGAACGAAATAAAAAAAAAAAAAAAAAAACCAGCAAAGATGCAATAAAGTCAATCAAGCAAGCTATAGCCTAAATGTCGACTCTGTGGCTAAGTCGATGCGAACACTTCGTAAAGCTGGGGTGCCTGGCTCAATCCCAGCTGCGGGCCATGTGCCTTGCGTTGGTTTCGACAGTGGTATCAAGAAAGCCGACCGTCCAGAAGCAATGGCAAACTACTGGACGTAAATTTGTCTAGAGAAACCATACAACAGCCAGGGGCTGTTTGGGTTGGTTCTGTAAAGGATACACAACCAAAAAAAAAAAAAAAAGCCTAAATAGCACCAAATTTGAAATGCATGCGACTGGATGTTCATTGTTCATCTTCATCGCACATGGGACATGACCATAAGTGCTCCGATCTCCACCTGAGTATGTCTCCAAGTGGTCTTAGGCTAACTATGATTTCAATGGCAAAAATGGACACTGTCTTCAGAAGACAGAAGGAA